ATTTACGAATCAATCAGAGATCAGGTCACAAACTATGAGGTTTATGTACACTTGTACATTTGTACAGCGTCACAAAACATATCCTATCTAGCTTCTAATACAGCAACATTTTACAAGTCACTAAGAGGTTTCTACGTGTACATGACCACAGTTACGTCCGTATAAAACATTTTGATCTACAACTCATGGTGTTTCGATTACATTATCCTCGTCACACAAACTAGTTCAATGACATTTTACATAGACTACTACACTACAGTACAGTATCGGGTGGTCGGTCAGTTGCATGGCGGTGCGCCCAACTCGACAGGACAACATCTATATACGCGTATGTACAACAGAAGCGAACGTTATAATGTAAATAACTTATACACCCATACAACAAAATACAGGTTAGCCAATCCGATTTGTTATTTAAAAATAGTAATAATTATAACAATAACAATTACTGACATTACGAATTCAATTAATTAAGTATTAGGAAACCCCTGTAAAAACTATTATACTTATGACCTAAAATTATAAAAATATTGTATAGTAATATTATTAAATAACAATTTCGCAAAGTATCATTATTAATTATTAAACAATTATTAATTCATTCTATACAAATGTTGCTACGATTGGTACTAAACCTTGTGACACGTCAATAGTATTTTACGCAACGATTGCGTAAAGATAGTAGTAACGACACGAGTAAAAAATTTAATTTATAAAGACTTCTACGAATGTTGTTAACACTATTTACCTACGACCGTTTTTTAAAGTAGCCGTTTCAGTACAGTTCTTAGAATTGAAAAGTATCTCATAACAGCATTGTTTACTTTCATAACAGCATAGTTTTACTCATAACAACACGGGTAACGGACCAATGAGGTTCAAGGATTGAGAGAGGAGAAGCAAAATTGTAATGATTCGATATTCAACTAATCAGCTGTTCCGGCCAATTTAATTGTTGATTGGTGCAATTAGTGAATTAGTGTTTGATTCCTTGCTTCACTGTCAGTGGCAATGAGAGGTTTTAAACAAAAACATAACCTCTCTTAGAAGTTATGAGTAGTGATTTTTAGTAATTAATACACCGTCGTAGGTAAAGTAGTGTACGCAACTCGCGTAAATAGTGTTAACGACACTCGTAGAAGTTTTTAAGGCACTCGCCAAGGATCGTACCTTAAATTTTCTACTCGTGTCGTTAACACTATCTTTACGCAATCGTTGCGTAAACTACTATTACGCGAGTTGCGTACATTTATTTACCTACGACAGTGTTTTAATTACTAAAAATCACGACTCATAACTTCTAAGAGAGGTTATGTTTACGTTTATAACCTCTCATTGCCACTGACAGTGATGCAACGAAACGTTGTACCAAACACTAATTGCACCACTCAACAATTGAATTGGCCTAAACCGCTGATTAGTTGAAGCTCCAATCATTATAATTTTACTTCTCCTCTCTCAATCCTTGAATCTCATTGGTCCATTTCCTGTGTTGTTATGAGTAAAACTATGCTGATATGAAAGTAAAAAATGCTGTTATGAGAAACTTTTCAATTCTAAGAACTGAACTGAAACTGCTACTTAAAAAAACGGTCGTACGTAAATATATTTAGGGGTAACTGAACTGTTTAGAAACTGTCAAATGCCTCGAAAATGAAAATGGGCTACATACTAAACTGTATAGTTACCCGTTTGATTTATTTATTTGATTGATTTATACCAAATATTTTTGTTATAAGTGTCCAATACTGTAATACCATTTTATTTATAACACAAATGAATAATAGTGTTAGGCCTAAATTTTCACGACAATATAACTAAGTTAAAGTTAATTTTAGCAAATTTCCTATATGAGGAATAAGCTACAGTATTACCATAGGTCTCATGGTAAGACCTAGACCCGGGACTGATTTACTTTTTCGTTTTGAGGTCCCCAGAGGCCAACAAAAACACCATCCGTTCAAATTCATATTTATGTGTGCGCGCGCATGTGCGTGTGTGTGTGTGTTTGTGTGTGTGTGTGTCCGTTAGCACGACAACTCGAGCAAAAATGATACGATTTTGATGAAATTTTGTATAAACGTGTAAACCTACCTATAAACCTTCGCGAACCAGCACAATCGGACGATGGGAACGGAGGTTTTATGGTAAAAATTGATTTTCCCCATTTGTTTACCATAAAAACACAAAATTTCTTAATTTCTCTCCAAACCATTTTGTATAGCTTAAAAAAATCATGTTTTACATTGAAGCGTTGTTGTATACCCAAACGGTGTTGAAGATGGTTAAACAAATTGTAAATTTAAAATTCCCATGTTATTCTTATGGAGAAATAAACTGTTGTAGTTTGCTTGTTCATGGATATATTGTAATCAAATTTGGCAATTTGTTTATTTCATACTAAGCTATCAACATTTCAATAAACAAACACTCCTCAATATCTTCCCGATAGCAGCAATTCCATGTAACTTATGCACTAAAATTAATGTTATTTAAATAGGAAATAAATCAGACAATTTTTTTGGGGAATATTTAAGTAGAAATCCTGCCAGTTAAATGGAAATTCGCTTAGTCTGCAGGCTTACTGCGGAGGGGGTATTAAGAGTTTCTAACACATGTGTCTGATTTTTATGAGCTAGAGATTCATGCCACTCTTGGACGGTTTTCTCTTTATACTACACGCCGTTTCATCTTTTGAATGCGGCAACAGAACATACATTTCAACTTCATAGAGTCCATTTACACAATGTCCATACAGCTGTGCAACGTTATTCTTCATGAAGACACATTTTTCTTTGGTTACTTTGAAACTAAATCCTTTCTTCACTGTTGTGCTGGCTGACATCAGGTTTCTTCCTAGCTTGGAAGAACATTCTCTAACATTACATGTATGGTTAACTACATTAACCATACATTCTCTAAAGTTGTTTAATATGGGGTTAATTAATAATGATAAATGATTTATGGATGAATGTACCTTTGGAATTATGTCGGACATAGTGAGCGGCAAGGAAGCGCCGCCGGGGTCGAGTTGCGATGGTAGATGGTAGAATGTCCTCAAGACGAAGGCACAACACTTGACACTATCTTTTTATGTTGAAGTCTTGATTTTGATTTCGGAATAACGCACGTCTAAAGGTCTATACAGTCCAAAATGAGCACTCACTAGAAGTTTCTACGCGACCGCGGTAGACCGGAATGGGAGGATTCACTGCTAAACTGACTTTACACACTGGTTAATACAATTAATTTAATTTAAAGAGGCAAAAATGTTATGAGTACTATACAAAGGGGCCACGGACTATTCCGAGTGGCAATAATAGAGAATTAAAACTATAAGAGGGAAAGCCACAATGGCAGAGAAAATTAATTATGTCAGAGTGACATGTGTTAGGTAAACCCGGCAACCAACAGACTGGGCCAAGCGTCCCGATGCGACGCTAAAAATTCGCAAAAATATCCTTCCGCCAAGTTAACCAATGGGCATTGTGCTGACCCCACTAGGTTCAATTGAAAACCCCTACTCTCTCTCGGCGGCAAATTCAAATGCATAAATTATATATAGTACAAGAAATAAAAACATTTTCCTGAAAAGTTACTTAACAAAAGTTGTGATGTATCGATTCTTACCAATATTCACTCTTACTCGAATACTTGGTACTTATTTAGGACCCAGACCCCAGCTTAAACGTTCTAAAATCACTTTTAAACTATTCTAGGACATCAATACTACAACTTTACTGATATGTGTGAAAGAAGTCCCTCCGTAAACATATATGCTGCGATGCTCCAGAATCTGCAATAAAGTTGTCTTTCCTGTGCTCCTTTGCTACAAAACACAAGAATAGACCACTGGTACATTTTCTAGGCTCAGTCTTGTTCTCGTCTTCTTTTTCTGATTTCTTTAAGCTTCGACTCCTCTGTTTCTTCAGGTTTTGTCCTTTCACCAGTAATCAGATCACTAGTTCCATGATGTATCAAAACTAATTCCATATGGCATTTCCACCTTTTCCATGATTGAGAATTGCTTAGTTTTTCAACATTCACTTTTAAATACATTCTTTTAACACTTGCTGGGCCCATAACCAAATAAAAACAAAAAAAGTTGGATAAAAGAAATTTGTTTGTTTCTGAGGTGTTGCCTTCCGGATTACTTAACAAATACTAATCTAGAGGTTTAATACCTTTTTGCCAACGTCTAGACCTGAGCCCGCAGCCGCGCCGTGAGTTGTATGGCCATACAGTATTATTCGTTAAAATGTGTGTTCGTGTTCGTGTTCGTTTTTGTTATTTGTTCGTCTCGTTATGTGTTTTTGAAGACTTTATGACGACCTCATAGGAGCGAAAAACCACGTCTACTAGGTCTAGTAGGCTTGACAATGACACCATAAGTGTGTCGAAACCGGTAGCCATTAAGTATACCAAGGATTACGTTGGAAAAATAGGTATTTAACCTCTAGATTAATAAATTAGTTTATTACTCTAACAAAGCCCATGTTATGAGTCAAAGGGGATAATTTGTATTATCATTCAATAATAAACAACACATGTTTTAAGGAACATTAATACCAACTCACAGGTTTTATATTATTTTTCAATTATTAAAATTCATGATATTTAAATATGAACTAAATCTGACAATTTTTTAGGGTATAATTTAGGGGAATTTCAGACAGGTAAATGGGAATTCGCTTAGTCTGCAGGTATGCTGAGGCGGGGGTATTAAATTATTATTATTAAGATCTAAACATGTACGAAATACAGCAACATCGTGATTTGTCTATTGCGGCAGATAGCAAGGAAGAGATAAGTTTTAAACTTCACATACCTCGGCTAATAAGTAGGCCAATTCCTCAATTTTTGAGACAATAACATCATATCTTAAAACTTCCTTTGGCATAAGAATTATGGTAAAAAAAACAATGGTAGGAATGCCGTGAGTAGAATAACAATATAACCGATTACATGATGCGGAAAGGAGATACTTAGTGGTAGTTGACAGTTCCTAAGAGGGCCTAACGTATTGTTTATTACTATATACGAACAAGTCTGTGGGTATTTAAAGCAAACTAACGGACATTTATCTCACATTAGTTGACTATTAACACCAACTGAGTGAAAAACATCGATTGTATCTTTGTACAAGTTTTGATGTTAGACTCCTTATTCGCCTGTTCGCAAACGCGTTTTAACCTTAAACGTAATGTGTTAAACGAATAAATTACAACGATTTAAACTATATCGGTAGACAACTATGTTCGATAAAATGGATTTACAACAAATATTTCAATCTGCGAATCGAAAACGATTATCGAATAACATCGGTTTCGATCGAAATGCCGTTGGATCAACGGCTTGGTCAATGCTATTATGTACATATATTCACACTCGGGAGTTGGAAAATTGCAGAATTTCTGTCTGTAAAAATTTAAAAAATCGTATTTTCAGGTATAAAAAGGTATAAATAGACAACAACTACAAACATTTAAGTCAGACAATTTGCTGTGAACACTTAGTTATTGGGGTCGCCAATCTATCGGCTGGTACTTGACATTCTGTTGACGTTGACAAGGGATGCACTAGTCTACGCTGACCGTTGAGGTGATGACGCACTGGTCAGTTTTTCGTATTGAGAATAGGTTACCGCAAGAGGTTTCCAATTACTTATCACAACTAAGTCTACTGAGTAGATTATTCGATCACCAGTAATGTACATTGTACATCAGTCGATTAGTCGAAAAGATTGTCTTCCGTCGATTACGAATAATTTGTGGACAGTTTTACGACGAATAGCCTCGTAGTCTACAATCGTTGTAAAGCCGATTTGTTTACGAGACGGTAACGGTTTGAACCTTAGACGCGTACGAAATTCTTACTCACTAGATAAATAACACGCAACATCGATCGAGAGCCGAGAGACCAGCTCCCAGCTCGGTGAACACAGAGGAGTAGAAGGGGCATTGTTTCCTAGTCGAAGCGCTAATTAAAAGCCAAAGTCACCACTACAGTCCATGGAGTAGTCGACGTCGTCCATGGCGTAGTTGCAGGTGTCGTAGAGGTGGTGGAGGTTGACGTCGTGGTGGTGGAGGTGGTGATGGTCAACGCAGGTGGTGGAGGGTGGTGGTGGAGGTTGTGCCTGATGGTTGCTGGTGGCGTCACAACCGCAGCACTGGTTGTGGCTTACGTCATGTGGTTGTGGAGCAGCGTCGCAGCAGCAGCAGTGATGGTTGGCGGTGCAGCGGTTAGGCGAAGGATAGGTCCAGCTCCAGCCCAGACCTTGTCCCCACAGTAGTAGTGTCGTCCCCACGCCACCTCCACCAACTCCTCCATCGCTGCACCCACAGTCTACAACGTCCTTCTTGGTGATGGCAGGACTGTCACCGTCTGTAACGGAACGACAACACTTTACTCAGACGTAATTCCAGGCACTATATCGATATCAATTACAGGAACTTCATTATGATCCACAAACGTGGAAATGTGTATAATAATTATTACGAACTTAACCATTGGCTCAAAATTACAAAGCGTGATAAATACGAATATGCCTAAATATCATTGCGGTAATATATTCTTTAAAACGTGAAGTAGTAAACATTGGCACCGAATGTTGAACTCTGTGGTATCAAAGTTTATGGTTAACTCATGTATTTAAAATACTTTTTTTTATTATCCATATATGAATCTCAAAGTCCATGAACTTTTGAGAAAACTAAAAGTCACACCCCCATAAACCATATAGGTACTTAAAATGTTCGTCATGACAACCCTACGCTAAGCTGTCTATTATTTCATAAATTGTCCTGTAAGGTCGTAAATCCTTTCTAAAGGGAATTTTACATGTACCTAATGTTAAAAATACCTCAGCTGTACTTATTTGATGTTATTCTTTCAACTTATTACCAAAAACCAGGTGTAATTATTTGTTTGTATTACTGTATTCTGTTTTGTTTATTTCAGCTTAACTTATAATCAATAGTTTAATTAATACATGTTAATGCTTATGATGTCAAAACATGGTGGAAGGAATCTTTCCGCCTTGATGTCAAACGGGAAATTCTAAATACAGTACAACACAAAATAGTCAAAAGGTACAGCTGATGAATTTTTAGCAAACGTGTATGTGAGTTCTCTTAATGACATTTTTTTTATTTTCTTACGATTTTACTTAAAGAATAACTAGGTTTTTGTGTCAAAAGAATTGTTTATATTCGTTAAATATGTAAATACTAAAGGTTCGTGTGTTTTTGTGAAATCCTATAAACTAATTCAGTTAGTGACTGTCCAGTTTGTTTCTTAGGTTAGTTTTAATTTTGTTACCATGGCAATGAGCATTCACACACTTGAACATGATTACTATAGGCCTAGCTCTTCCTTGTCCAAGGAAAGTTCAAACGACCAAAATTTCTCTGACGCTAATGAGTTGAATAAAGGTATACCAATGATTCCTGACAAATTGTCCAATCAAGAAATGTCAAGTGAAATATTGGTTCATCCTCAGATCATGTGCAAAAACGTCATCGTGTAACTAATCAGACAGACACCACCCCCTTCGAAACAGCTATATGAGCCTATGTACTCCAATGACGACGAGCAAATGGATGATGAAATGCCGGCACGTTGTTTGTTACTTATGATGTCAAAACATGGTGGAAGACTACGTCAGACGACTAAGGTGGCCAAACCTCCACCAATCTTCCTTCCCGGAGTAACAAATATTGGACCAATGGTCAGAGCTTTGGATGCCTTGGTTACCAATACTGGATATACATACAAGTGTCTTGGTCAATATAGAATGAAACTGTTTCCATCGTCATCTAATGATTACAGACACATTGTAAAAGGTATAAGGGACTTAAACGTAAGCTTCCACACCTACCAGCTGAAGCAAGAACGAGCTAACAGCGTTGGTTTGAGGGAAATGCATTACTTAACAAGTGTTGATACAATTACAGCTGTAATCGAAGAAAAAGGACATGTGGTAAGAAACCTTACTAATCTTAAAAATATATTCACTAAGGAACCCATGTCTATTTTCGTTGTAGATTTGGAACCTAACGCTCAAAACAAGGATATATTTCAGATCCAGTTTTTGTTAAATGCTAAGGTTTCATTTGAACCACCTAGAAAGAAAAAAAAGTTCTTTAATGTAAACGTTGTCACACACTGTTGTCACACACGTTGGCCATACTGTGTATGGCCACACCAGATCCTACTGTCACAACGATTTTCGTTGAGTCAAATGCACACAAAATCATGATACTAAAGCCTGTCCTAAGCCCATATCAGAGCCTCCAACCTGTGTATTGCACTCCGGAGAACACCCGACAAATTACAAGGGTTGTCCCGTATACAATTATGCTCAAAATAAGCAATCGCCACCCCTTCGGCGAAAAACTCCTGAAAAAACTCAGGAACACACAGGTAAACGAAACTAGTGACCCCGGTAAGAGCAGTTCGTTAACTGAAGGTATTTCGTTTGCACAAGCTACAAGAAACAGTTAGAGGGCTGTGATTCAAGAAACCAATTCCGTAATAATGAAGTCACAGAACAAGAAGCAGGTTTGTCATTCATAATTCAAGATTCGTTTGCTCGCTTCGAAAGTATACTATCCAAGCAACCAGAGCAGATTAATACACTTCTTAATCTGTTAACAACAGTAATTGCTCATTTAAAATTAATATTGTTCTAAAAATTGGTATTTGGAACGCCAATGGCTTGGCTCAGCATAGTAAAGAAGACTATAATGTCTAATGCCAAGCATCAAGAGTGGGGTTCACGCTTGGCTACACCAACAGATCGACAGTTGCTAAGAGTAATAAATGACAACACTCTTAATCATATTTCAACAGGTGAACCTACTTATTGGCCGACTGATATGAGGAAAACTCCTAAATCATTGGACTTCTTCATATCAAAAGGTATTAATCAAAACTACACTAATATACAATCAAGTCCTGACCTATCCTCTGACCATTTACCGATAATATTGTAAATCAGTACACAAGATTTTCACCAAAAAGTAACTGAACGGTTATACAACAAGAACACTAATTGGGAAATTTTTCGTCAAGATATAAACAATAATTTAAACTTAAAAATTCAATTACAAAGCAATCAAAATTTAGAAGACGCCATTGGTTTATAACTTGTATTCAAAGTTCTGTAAAAACATAAACTCCTGTCCTTAATTATTTGTCAAAACCTGGATTAACTTCTGGAATCAGTTACCCTATTTTCGTTAAACAGAAGATTGCGGAAAAAAGAAGGTTGAGAAAAATCTGACAAAATAGCAGGAATCCAGTTGATAAAGCATTTTAATAGGGCATCTCGAAATTTGAAGCAGCTGTTATATGATTTAAAAAATCGCTGTTTTGAGAATTACACCCAATCTCTGTCACCTTCCGAAGCTACGGATTATTCCCTCTGGAAAGCTACGAAGCGAATGAAGCGCCCATAGATTCGAATTTCGCCGATTTTAAAATCTGATGGGAGCTGGGCAAAATGTAACACAGAGAAGTCTGAAACCTTTGTTAAATTCTTTGAGAATGTGTTCAAACCAAATGTGGTAGTAAACAAAGAGGAAGAGATACTTGAATATTTGGATGATCCACTACAACTTGACTTCCCAATGCGGAAGTTCAAACCATAAGAAGTAAAATCAATCATCACCAACATTCTTCATTCTAACAATGCTCCTGGTTACGACCCCATAACTGGTAAAATACTTAAAGAGCTTCCACGAAAAGGAATAATATTTTTGACTATGTTATTTAATACAATGTTAAAACTTGAAAATATACCAGATCTTTTCAAAAGAGCAAAATAATTGAGAGTCATTCCGAAACATAGGAAGCCTCTTGAATAGGTAAGTTTATATCGACCTATAAGTCTTTTACCAGTAATGTCCAAGTTGTTTGAAAAAACTTCTTCTGAAAAGGATACAAGACCTAATTGGCGAAGATGTGATTGCTGCTGAAAGAGGTCAGCTGATGTCAAAATCGTAAATGAATGCAATGTGCTATCCATAATCATGGTGGACATAGTTCATAATTTGATGCTAGGTAGCAGCACGGTACAGAAAATGAATCGTTTGACCATAAGACAAATAGAATAAATATAGACTGTCAAAGGAAGGTTCCGGTGCCCACCGCTATGAGTGCCGTGTAGTTACGGCACACACCGCTGCAGGCGAGGAGCGCAGGATCCATATGCGACTAGCAGACGCTGCAGCGGTGTGCGCCGTAACTACATGGCAAACCTAGCGGTGGACGCCAGAACTTACCACTAACCGCAGCACAGCTGACGGCCTATATTTATTCTATTTGTCTATGGTTTGACTTACGTAGTGGATTTTTGACTAGTGCAGTTGAATGACAACCAACAAAGTCGAGATCTGGGTAACACGTGATCATGGGCCCCTGCTTGATGATCATCTTCCGGCTTTTCCTTCTACACGCTGCTGCTATTGTGTGACATGCTGTAGGACATCTGACTGGCAAAAATTGTGTATGACAGGCTCTACTGTGAACTGTTGGATGTGGTGAGTGTTTGTCTGGATAGAGGAGGGGTAAGGATGCATCGTCTTGCTGACATCAGACTCGACTTGGCAGACAGGAGATTGGACACCACCGGGTCCAGGGAGGCTGACTTCACCTTTCTACCTAGGGAGCATGCTACCGACGTGCACTACGCGTTGTTCTGAATGGAGGTGTGATGAAGATGCATGCATCGTCTTGCTGACGTATAACTCAGTTTAACACACTCCTTTTATCTATGGTTTAACCGACGGGATAGTGGACGCTACCAGGTCCAAGGAATTTGACTTTAGTGTTGGTGGTAAAAAACCTGATCAACCTCGGCCTCTCAAAGTTGTTCTTGGCAGGAATTCTGACGTAGTCACTGCAATGAAGAATTTTTGCCGGATCTGAGACCAAATTGAATCCACGATTTTCTTCGGTCAAGCTATCCAGAGACAGAACTTCCCGTGAAGCCGCTCACCTTCTAAACCTCAGTGCCGAATTAAAGGAACGCACCACCCTTGGGGGAAAAGGATCTCACCGTAAGTTTCCTAAACAACATCATTGTTGTTTTTTAACAACATCATAATCATCATTTTTACCTTTCACCTTGATCAAGCTCTACATTTCCCTGGTACGCCCACAGCTAGAATATGGGTCTGTCGTCTGGTCTCCTTTCCACAAGAACCATGTCAACGAACTGGAGAAAATTCAAACCCGCTTCATACGGATGCTTGGACCGAGACTTGGGTTAACCTACCACAGCACCCCGGTTGACGATGTGGAGAAGCCCTTCAATCTTCTACCTCTTTCACTCCAACGTCATCATGCCGACATCATTCTGCTCTACAATGTGACATTGA